GTGTGTGTGTGTGTGTGTGGTCACTGGTCACAGGTCACTGCTGATCGCATGGCAGAGATAATGGTCCAAACAACCTTGACGAGAGTGGAAGAGGTCTCTCTATTTAATTAGAAACTTTAATATTTCATTCTCTGCTATGCCTCATTAGAGCCTTTCCATCACACTGTCTCAAGCCCATATGCACTACCACAATGTCTTTTTTGTCTCGTTGGCCAGATTTTCTGTTTCAGCACTGAAAATCAAGCTAAAATTCAGAAAAAGAAATAGAGAGTTTTTCTTTATTTCTTCACAGTTTGTCAGTTGTCAAATGCTTTAGTTTTTCCCTTCCTGTTATACCAAACTGATCTGCTGAAGTGTTAACGGGGTTACATCAACAGTGAGTTGTGCTTTCATTAGAAATATGAAAGGGTGAGAAGGAAAAGCAGGCATCCATTCTAGAGAGTTTTAGCATTTTAGAAAAGTAGAGATAGTAAGATGAGAGACTTGACGGACTGCTACGACACACAGCGTGAGGGTCATGATGTGACAGGAGGATCAGTATGCATCAGCAGGCTTCTTATCAGTTGCTGCTACAGTAGCTTGTCTAAATAGTGAGAAAGCAGAATTGGTGACAGTCCGCACAGAGAAATGGAAAATGCAGCAGGCTTGTTTATAAGCCTACCACATTTCTTGTTCTTTTTGTTTTGACCTTTTTTTTTCTGAACAATGCACAGATGCCAAAACATTAGCGAGAAAACTGGGACAACTCCACAACATGATATTTATCAGACATAACTTTTATTTTCTTGAAAGACACAGTTAAATGGAAATTCACCTGGAGTTGCGCAAACTGATACAAGTTGATACTGTTCCAACATTTGTGCTGTATCCTGGTTTTTCATGAATCCACTTCATAAATGTAGAGAAAAGAAGAGAATAAAGAGAGACTGGAGTGGGTTACTGTGTCTTCTGGTTAGTTCTGAAACCAGTCCGAGGTTAAGCAGAACACTCCCATACACACAGTATATCTCTTACTAGCTAACCTACAGCCATCATCTCCGCTGTTGGGACATTGACTGTTTGGGGCAATCAAATGGCCCAGTGGCGCATGAATGACTGAAGGTGAAGATTTTGCTTTGCTTCCTTTCTGAACACAATGTCAGAATTGCGTTGTCACAGAATTTCCCCTTAACTTCTTTAATGTGTGGGTGTGTCACCCAGTTAAAGACTTCCACCAGCTCTGTTAAGAATGGCTTACTGGAGAATGTTTTACTAACATGCATTCATTGTACCATTTTTAAGCAATTCTCAAATACTGTCTCAATAACAGATATGGTACAGCTCAAGCGGCACTGGAAACAAAGGCACCATAGCATTAGTGCTAGCCTAGCAAACCCCTCTTGCTGGTTGTTTCATCGAGAGCCTCCTGCAGTAAAACAGATGAAAAAAACGTTGGCAGTAGTTTAAAATTTGCCAGTCGTGGTGCATAGAGCAATACTTGGAGACTTAAACTCACAACTATCAACTGCTGGTTGGTCACTGTTGTCTCCTCACACAGTAACAGTTCGGGTATTCCACTCAGCTCACAGACTCATAACCATTTCCGCCATAGGACCAATAATATCTCATCCATTCGCTCTGCTTTTTATCTTTTGTCTGGCATCACAAGGTGCTCAACCCTGGTTAGAGGAGTGAAGGCTTTTCCCAATCACTGTCTGTGGTCCCAGAGGCCCCCTGGCCCTGGTAACAGGGGGCGAGAATGTGATGACAGGACACTTTTAAAGACAGATTCAGGATTTCAAGTTGGTCTTAAAACAATACTGACATGCTTACAAAGTGGCACTATGCTGTAAAAAAAAGGGGTGGTGCAAAATACACAACCCTTGTTCTGTGTAAGAATGCAGTCCATAGTTCACCTGAGGCTCAAATTCAGCTGTCCCACTAAACTAAGTTACCGTCTATTTAAGACTACATTCCAGTACAGTAGTTCCTTACTGAACTGTGGCGGAGGGATACGTTCTAGTAGCGGCATGTACGTTTGTCGTTATACTGGTGTTTACTTCTCAAGTTCAAAATAACTTGAAAGTGAGTTTGCAGATTTCATAGCTGAAGTATTTTTGCATTTTGTGGTTTTGGGACACCAGTAAAACCTGCTCCTGGGTCTGGATTATATTGTGCGTGTGTGACATCTCAGAATTGCTTTTTCTCCTGTTTATTCCTGCCTCATCTGCATCTTATAAGAAGTAGAACTGGTTTGTGTCTATGTTTATTCAGGGTGTTAGAAAGAACTGATGGGCAAAACCATTCCACAGATTTCACCTGAGAGATCCCAACAGAGCCAATCTGGACCACAGTGTGACAGTCAGCAGTTCACCAACAGTGTAAGAGTGACAGCGGCTCAGCTTTATAGAAACAAATGTTAGTAGGTTCCAACCCATCTCCCAGGGGTGTTGCATGACACCCAAGGGAGGCAGCTGTATTGATTATGCATTTATGTGAGTAAAAAGCCGGTTCCAGTAACAGCACTGACACACAACTACTCCACGAACTACTATCCTGGGACACACAGAAAAGAAATTTGTCTTAAATAGACTGTAGCTTTGAAAAGTACTGACTGAAATTTGCTCAGTCGGACAGCTGAAGCTTCATTTGAACCTCAGATGAACAAAGAACTTTGTAGTGCATTTTTGCTAAAAACAAGGGCTGTGTATTTTGTCTCCCATTTAACCTTCAGGGTCAGAGTAGGCTGACCACTAAGACATATTCTCAAGACCAAGACCAAGTTGAAAAATCCCAAACATGCCCTTTAAAGGTGATTCTGTTCAAGGGCATGTCACTGTGTCACTGACAACACTTTAATCCTGGTCAAGGTTTCTAACTGGCCACTGTTAACACACTCCCTGCCACACTTCCTCACAGTGCACACTGTGTGTACTGCATATGAATGAATTTATATTATATATTAGCTTATAATGAATTGAAAGTGACCAAAATATAATTGTTGGATTAAAATTGAATATTACAAAAAGACTATTCCTAGTAAATAAAAGTACAAGAAATATTATAAACCAGTATTTTAATTGCTTGTGTATAGGTTTGTATTATTTTTTGCATGTGTGCATGTGAAAGTGTTTTTGACTCTGACAGTGTGTGTGTGTTTATGTGCATGTGTGTGGTACATAATATGTTTGTATGTAAGTAGGCATAGAGGGGGGCATAAAATATGCAGGATAATTACTAGGAAGAGGTTGGGATGCAGATGAAAGGCCTCGTATTGATTCTTGAAAGGACCTGACAGCTCGCCTGAATGTTTTATTTCCTCTGCATTGTTTGTTTTGCATATAAAGGATTCCATTTTCTTGTGAATTTTGATTGCAGTAAAGGCGGTGGACCCTGTGCCTGCTGTGGAGAAGGACAAGAGCAGTGTTAACTGTTTAAAGACAGCAAAAGGATGTGGGATGCATGTGACCCATGCAGCGGGCCCTCTACCTATGCAACCATCCACAACCGGGGTGAGATGACAGACATGCTGAAATGTATAAAAATAGCCAGAAATAAAAAAAATAATAATAATTTGTAAGGATGTGCAAGTAGAGACACCTGATTCCTACATGTTCCCTGCTAAGAAGCTGCTCGGTTTTCTGCCATTACATATGTTAATCGAGCACAGACTCTCGGGACAAACACATATGCACACATTTAGGTAATGAAAAGTCAAGCGTGAAAATATGGATCTGGATCTGGGCAGCCCACCATGAGTGCTGGAATGCAGCACCGTGTAGCGTCCCAGCCCTATGTAAACAGCTCGTGCACGTGTGTGCATGCCTCCCTCCTCTAAAGCTGCTTTCAATTTCCCTCTGGTGCCCATTTCTCCTCATTCAGGCCTTTGTTCTGCCAGCTACCACAGATGCAATCCCACCACAGGATTTTGTACACAAACCCAGCATCTGGATCCCCTGCCTGTAGCCCGCTGCTCTCACAGTTCATCTGTCCTCAACATGATGCTGGACAGAAACACACTGAGCTTTAGATAAATCTTATACTTATGTAAAAATTATTTTCATGTACTGTCACATTTGAAGAAATGATTCATCAAATTTTGTTTAATTGAATTCAGATTTTTTTTAATTGGCCACTATCATTTATAAACAATACCATCTTTTTTTTTTTTTTTACCTACAATTACAGCTACAAAAATAAAGTTAATGGGTCACTTTACCAGAATCACAATAAAAAAAAATAAGATTTACCCCTAGACATGACTAGTTTACCCCTAATTTGACTTTCCCAGGTTTGGAGATCTCAACCACAGAGACTTTGTTGCCACCTCATTACAATTAAGGTGAATGGAAATGTATTTATATTTCAATTAAATTTCACATGCCTTTTTAGAAACAATGTCCCAGTTAGTTCATTTAATCCACTTAAGACACCAAACTGTGAAAACAATTTTGCCCCTAGTAGTTAACAACTGTGGCCAATTTTACTCATAAGCTTAGATTTAAAGCGAATGTAAAGTTCCACCTTTATGTTAAAACATTAAACAGTTGCCCATTCAGTTCCATTTGGTTGTTAGCCCCTTTAAAGTATTGCTAAATTGCAGTAAATCATATATATTTAAGAGCACGAACATCACAAAAATTCAATAAATTGTGGTTTTATTGATGTTCAGTCCTCCCATACTTCCTAATCATTTCCAGATTGAATTTACAGGCACTTGTATGATAATAAATATACAGTAATGTCTTGATCATTAAAGGCAATTCTCCCTTTGCTTGCTCAGGGGTGAATGTCAGAGTCAGTCACTGCGCACTGCCTCTAGAGCCACTTCAGTATTTTTTTCAAGGAGGCTTCAGAGAGTAGATGCTCACCAGTACTGGAGCACATACATGGTTTTTCTAGGTGAAGGATTTTCTTTTTATACACCGGCCCATGCTGCTGCCTCATCATCTATGTATCAGTGAATGCAAGTGTAATACCCGTTGTTCTCAGAGGAACAGACCTTCAGTCCCACACTGAGGCTGTTACTAAACCAGGCTTGTTACGTACCTCTTGAAAACTTAAGGACTTTTCCACTGATGTAGACAAATGAGTGATTAATTTCATATTTAAATTTAAATTTGTTCAGTGGGTTTGAGTCTAAGAAATTTGTTTAAAATGTTTCATTTTTACTCCAAATATATTTAGGAATTAAATGAAGCAACACTTTCAGCAACTGAGGGAATAAAACAACTCAGCGAGAAGTGAGCCGAGGGACAACACGGCATCTCTCAGAACACCGGTGTGTGACATACCCTCTACTGAGCTGCCTGAAGGGCACGTGTATCATGTTAATACACAGTTTTTTGTACTTACATGCACTTTCTCGTGTTTCTGCTTCACAGCTCTTAATTGTGCTGCAACCTCTCCTATAGTTAAATTCCTAATACATGCTTAACCAGCAGTTCCACCAACAAAAATGTCACTCCTCATTCCATTGTCACCCCCATTTCAAACCATCACCCCCATCAATGCCATTTTGCTCCTGGGCTGAAAAGCAATTGAAACAATTTTCTTGCAGAGAATTATTGTCCTTAATTGCAATGAAGGGCACGTTTTCCCGTCATTCCTTGGGAGTGTTTTTCTCTCCCTGGGTGAAAATGTAGGCATTGCCACTGAGCGTGGGCTTTCTGAAAGAGGTCATAATTACATCCTTCAGTATGCTCGCCGTCGGCAAGGATTTTACGCCTCATAATTATTAAATGGCAGATTCACTCTGTGTGTGAGTGTATGTCTGCCTGCACGTGCCTGTGTGCGTGTGTGTGTGTGTGTGCTAAAATGCAGGGCGAAGAAAGTTTGAATTTGTTCCCCAATGAAAGTCTAAGGAGAGAGTATTTGTGTATTCTGTGCACACACTCTCCAAAAGTTCTCCCTGGTGAGAGAAGTCTAAAGCAACCCTTTAGTGGCCCTGGCACTGGTTAGTTGTTTCTATCTCACTATCACACTCAGCATTATTGGCTGTCACTGAAGTAAACAACGCACGAACAGTATCAAACCCGTTTATCTGTTCCAGGACAGCAAATTGATTTCAAGTGTATGATATTATTACTGAAGACCAGAATAGAATCCAGAATAGATACATTATTTCATAATTGTTATTGAGTCATTAGTAATTGATATTGGAGATGGTAGGTAATGTGCCATCCTAACAAGATAAGCTCCAGCCTGCTTCAGTTTTCTCTTTCAGCACCATTTCCATATCATAATTATATTGTCTCATTCACAGCTGAGATAACATCCCACTCTACATGCCTAATCTCCCTCCCATCTCTCTGGTGTCTCTGTCCTGGCTCCCTCTCTATCTCAAGATTACAAAATCTTAAAAAAAATTATTTAGCCTTGTATTTTCTTTAATAAAATATGTTATTCTATCAAGACAACCCTCCTCATTTCTGCTGCAGCTCACATTGCTAAAAGACTTTTTAAACAAATTACGCAAGAAAACATAATGCTGATTACCCAAGTCTCAGTAACTGTAAATGCAGTCAATTAATGATACAAAGCAGGCAATAGTTTCAATGTGATGTTTCTATTAGTAAAAAGATCTAAAACTCAGTATGAGATAATACGGTATGTTATTGAGGCATTATTTTACCAAAGACGAGTAATTTAGAGCCTTATAAAGTGTCAGATTTGAACTCAGCATCCCTCCATTCCCTGCACCCCTCCTTTGGTGAAGTAATGCTGAGATGATAATTGATTGGCACTCATTGCAAGTCCACTCCTCACTTCACTCCATTCACTCCCACAGGAATTCATTATGCGAAAAGACCAGTGAGGTGCAATGGAATATTTTACTTGCCAATAACCAACAGGGGAGTAAACAATTAGACTTCACCATCATATCCCAACTGCTGCTAATTGTTTAATCCCACATATAGATACATATACTGTATATATATTTGATGTAAATATGTATACAAAAAGACAGTTCCCATGCACACTGCCAATTATTGTTGTGTCATATAGCTGTTGTATAGCATCCACTGCCTGTACTTACATGTTCTACAGTGAGAGCTATTGGAATTAATTAGAAAAAAAAGCTCCATTTCATTGTTGAGGATGAGTGCAGCTTACAGATGTGCTGGTGGAAAGCAACATCTGAGTTTTTCAACGAATCAGTGAGTTTAGTAAACTTAGTAAAATCAATGAACATTGCTTCCAGTGTCAAGTAATTATAACATTGGTTACCCATACAATCTCAGTGGCTTCTTCAAATCTTTTTCAAGAGAAATCTGTGTATAAGAAAAAAATGCAATACAGCAAAAGCAGAGGTTAAGCTTTTACATTAATAAAGCAAAGAAAAACCAACACAGTTAACATGAGAGTTGCAATTAAGAATTCTTTTCATTATTAACTCTGCTGCTGAAACTCGATATTCAATTTACAATTATACCATTTATTTACAGAATACATAAAACACACATTAGACACACAAATGTAATAGAGAAATTAGTTCCTCATAAAAAGAACAAATGCAACAAGTGACATTCAGAAAGCATAGATTTGCATGCCTGTCCACAGTAATGCCAGATTTCAGAAATCTTTCTACCACTAATACCACATCTTGTGCATTAGCACATCAACGGGCCAGCAATTGCAGGTCCATACATGGTCAGGTAAATAGTGATTTCTTTACCCGTCTTGAACTTATTAACTCTTTACACCTTCCAGTATGTCAACTGTAAATCAGCTTGATGAATCTGAAGGTTGTCCTGAAGTGATGTGAAGGTGAGGTCACTGTGTGTGTCATGGCTATAATATAATGATGGCACTCCATGTTACAAGTTAAGTCCTTGAGATGCGCTAGTTTACCTGCAAACAGAGAACAACTGAGTCAATTGAAAATAATAAAATAAGTGTGACTCGGGGGAAAACCAAACATGCTCCTGCAGCAAATCAAAACTTTCCATCTCTTCTGCAGAGCGGCTGTCGAAAACACCCTGTTTAGTCTTGTTCTATTTCTTCACAAACATGCATTTTCTGGTGAAAAGGAGGAATCAAGACTTTTCAGTTGTCTAGCTGGAAACAGACACCTGAGCTGGAAAGTGGGAGAGAAGTTGAGCTGTTAGATCTCAGTAGCATACACTCCCTGGGGAAAGCCACAGCTCAGGGTACTCATCCTACACCGCTGTGGAGCTAGCTTAAAATACTGTTGTCACATAGCGATCACAGGCTTTCACTGATGGTACACAAATAGTCCCCTTGCGAAGCTCTTGAAAGCCCATTAGACGTCACCACGCACGGTGCCGAAGATGCCAGCACTAAGTGCTCCTGATGCCGAAGGGAAAGCATGAAGACAGACCTGATGCTACACAATCCCTGTTTTTCTCCTTCCATCTGAATCTGTTTGTTGACTTTTCAGCTCATTTTATGTGGCAAATATCTAAGAGAGTGGCAGCAAATCAGATCAGGGTGTAACATTTCTTCATGTTCACAGTGTGAAACAGATGTTCAGTTGGTGAAAGCACAG